GCCATCTTCCTCTGGCAGCGTTACCAGAGGAAGATGGAGTGAGTATGTCTGCTTCAACCAACACAGAACAATGTAGACAGCTGATATGACGATTAAAGTGGGTCCCTGTGGGACGGCCGTACCACAGACCAGCCTGTCAGACTCACAGCCCTGTTTCCTTGCGTACTGCAGATGTCCAATAAGGTTGTCTAGTGTCCACTGAGAGCAATGTTGGTGGACATCTCCAGGCTGCAGGAGAAGTCCACCAAATGCTCTGCGTGTTCAGAGCTTGTGGTGACGTACGAGAATCGAAGGGCTGGTATTGTTAAGGGAATTGTTATAGATGCTCTTCACCATTAAATAGACAGAATACTTTTATGACAGACTTACTTTACAGGTTGATGAAGGAAGAACCAGCGTTCTGACCAGTCCTGGTTCTTGGTCTGACGCAGGCCTGCAGCATTCCTCTAAAGGGAGGGCAGGTTTTTACTAGCTCTTTGTCATGGTAAAATATAACTTATATGTTTCAGAATTACTATAACAAAAGGATCAGCTTAACAAGTGTTTGCTGAGTTCCTTTTGCACTTATGTCTCAAACTTATTAGAGGATGATAAAAATATTGGTTTTCTTGTTCCTAATAGAAGAACCCACATTTTAACTGCAAGGTGCTTGTATTGTATTAGCACTATAGGATAGTCAGTCTTGGAAATAAGCAGGATCATCTTAGACAGGCTAGTTGCTATCATAAATTCATTCAGGGCCAACTACTGTCATCCTGTAGTAAAAAAAAAACTAATTATTAATCATGACAAATTTAGTATCACTGAATTCTTTGTAATCCCACAGTTTTATAAAATACCACTGTAATCATGCTGCCGGAAACACTGAATGAAAGAAAATTAAAAACAATTCATAGCTAATCCCAGGTGATTATCCATCAATTTACAGAGGATTAGAATTGCTCAAAACAAACAGAGTTAAAGACCATAATTAGTGACAAACACGTTTTAAGTCCACTTTTTATATGACACACATTATATTACAAAAAGTCAATGAGCTTGAGTCAGATTTAATGCCTTCGACCTTGAAAAAGGATGGTTTTCTAAGCATTACTTAATGACTTAATTAATGTGGTAAATATAAAAATAAATTCTGAAGGAGTGTCCCGAATGAGAAAGGCGCCCAGCCCACACTTGTTTTATACAGAGTTTACAGTGAACAAGAGGTACAGTTTGAAATATATCTCATAAGCCTCTTTGGAAATTTGTTTATGTCATGAGAAACACATATTTAACCTTTCAGAACCACAAAAAGCAAAAAATAGTAACAGACATCAGCAGCATCAGGTCTCTCCTCATGTCCAGATGACAACACTGGTGTTATTTATTTTCAGCCCCCCCCCAAAAAAAAACGTTGTGTGAAATCATAACATTTGATTTTTATAAAGCTGAAAATGACACAATATTTTAATATAATGGAAAGTCGATTTTCCTTTTCTTATTGTGAAATACTGATCAAGTGAGAAATGGGGCCCTCCGAGACAAAGGACCTAAAAGTTCTTGCTTTGCTCCTGCTGTTGTCACCACATGTAATTAAGTTTTATTTGTAAGCATGACGAAAATTCCTCGAAGATTTCTCTGGTGCTCATACGCAACCAGGTGGTTTTGATGAGTCGCTTTCTTAGCAGAGGTAAGTTACTTTTTCTGCTGTTTAGTCCCAGTCATTTAGATCCAAGCAACCAAAACAGTGAAAGCATTGTTTCCCTAAACTTCTCAGAACTGGCTCTTGTTGGTACTTGTGAGGCAGTCCGCGACAAAGTCAGCGTTATTCGAGGAGACCGCAGCTGTTAGGTTCGTAGCAGCAGAGAGAGACGGTCTGATACACATCAACAATGGAAGTACTGAAATCATCTTAAATAGAGTAATACACAAAACAGTCGGTTTAACTGACTGGCTCCGCCCTCTTCCACCTGTCCAGTAGAACTTGTTCTACTGGCTCCCCATTCAATATCAGACATTTCCTTTGAATTGATCTATTTATTCATACAAGATTATGATTCATTGTCATCTTTTTATGGTCATAAGCTTTTATGTCACTATCCCGCAGATCAAATTCAACCTTTGCCTTATATTTTTACATGATGGAATAAATCACTTTGCCTGCCCTTCAGCCCAACCTTCCTAAACTTGCCACATCATAAAGGAAATCAGGAATATGTGTCATTTTTAGCTCCCCTCACATGACCAACAAAAACGAATGTGAGGCTGTGAACATTTCGTAGAGCAGTCCAGGCTTTAAAGACATTATTATGTTTCATAACACGTCAAAAAAGATCTCTTTATTTAGATTTGGTCCACCTTAAGGAGAGGTTCCATGATCGTGGCTTCATGTCGTATTTACACTTCGCTGCATTGTGTGCAACTCCTGTCTATACTTGCCTGTCTGATGAAATCTGCTCCTGTATGACTCAGATTTGCAGGGTGGATTATTGGCTTGGATTAATCATTAATCCAACCCTACTACTGTTGCTGCAGATGGAGAAATAAACTTTTATCAGTAGTAGTAACAGTGACTAACTATTGTTATCTTTATCTCTATGATGTGATGAAGCCTGCAATGCAGGGAGAGGTGTTAAGTGTGCTAGAAGTTGATCAATTTGTCATAGATGGAAAAACACAAACAATGACATAGTTATTAATAGACATCTGTGCAACAGTGAAGTCGCTTTTAATAGTAGCGGCATCAACCGAGAGGCATCAAGCGGTTCATGAAGTCCCTGCCAGCAAGTGTACTGTTCCTTTTGTAATCCTTGCCATTACTAATACATTTGGAAATAGGACACTCCATGTGCATACACCTGACACATCCAGAGGAGCCAGCAGGATGAGTAAGGATTAGGATGACCGCTGCTCACATGAGGGTGTTTGGGTGTAATCTCATTCAGGCAGGGAGTTCTGGCTTTGAAGCCGCGCTCATGCCCTGATCCGGACTGACACCCGTCACCTCAGTCCACAGTCATTTCAAAAACTTTGCCGTGGATCTGTGGAGATCAGAGTAGGGAGTGGGATTCATCAAAGAAGAGTGAATTTGAATTTTGAAGCTACAAATATACTTGCTAGCTATCTTGTCTAATGTATTAGCTATATGATATGTGAAATGAAACACAAGCTAACTAGTCTCTAATAAATTATCCAAACTACCGAATTAACTGTAAGCTATGAATATTGATTGTAAAAATTCTCAAAAACAAATAATACAGTAAAACTAACTAGGTTTATAAAAGAACATTGTGTATCAAATAAATGCTAAAAACAGTTAGCATGTCTACTGAATTAGCCATATGGAATACATCTTGCTAATCTAGACAAGCTAAGTAGTCTCTAAGCGAATGCTTAAGCTATTAACGGGCTAGCTATGAGCTAATGATGTTGGTTGAAAACATAAATAATCCAGTAAACCTAAATAAATTCATTAAAAATACATTAACAAATAACTCCAAAAACATTTAGCATTCTAGATCTTAATAGTTAACTAGTCTGCTAAAATAGTGATAAGAAACCCATATAATACTGACTAATCGACAACATAAATAAAAACTCAAGCTAAAGACATCAACACTAAAACAGACCTATTATATTATCCATGTTAAGACTGTGTGTTTGTACATCAGCGTTTCAATAAAGTCATAAACCACCTGCAACAATACAGATACAGCAACATACAGTATCTGCATGAACAGCAAAATCCAAATATGTTCCTTTTTTTATTAAGTGTGGCTGTTAAAAAAGGAACCTAAAATAATTAGCATATAATTGTTATTGAGTAGCTGTCAACTTGCTTCTCTTAGCTTGCCCAGAGGGATTCATATTTTGTACCCAACTCTGTCTGTCACTATCCTAATCGTGTTGCTTCTAAACCAATAATCTTGAAATGATTTTTGATGCTCAGATGTTGTGGCAATAAGAACGTATTCAGACTTGTTGAGCATACAGCTGGCAGAGCTGGAACAGACATTATCCTTATATGCTGATGATGTGACACTGTTTTAAAAATTCTCTGGCTTCTCTTTCTTATTACGTTAGTATTTTTGATAGTTCTTCAGCTGTAATCAGTTGCAATAAATTAATAGTAAGATTAAAGATTAACACTGACTGAGAGCGTATTACTTTCTAGTCTAAAATATTAGGTTGTCAGCAATATAGTTTGTTGCCAACGTGGGAAACCTACATGTTTTATAAATAATTCTGAAGCTTAAAGCTAAAATTACGGCTCATTACTCCATGACATTGTAGCCAGTATGCCAGTTTGGCTATGACTGTAGTTCACAATGCCACAGAAGATCCTTTCTGCCCACAGCCATCACCACTCAGATACTGCAACTTTTAATTTTCCTTTGGGATGAAGAAAGTATCACTGAATTGAACTGAACTCTATTAACATTTTAGCAGAAAGCTTCAGCATCAGCATTGATTCTGGCCCAGTTCGTTTGCTGATAATGTCCCGAAACAAAAGGTCACAACTTTTAAAGGTAGGAGGACCTCTGACCTCCTATGTTTGTTTTGTATACGCACACACAAGCCTTTTGACATTATGACATTTATGTTTTCACTGGGCATCATTACAGCAATGAAGACCCCAAAGAACTTGACATATGAGTGAGTTTTACAGGCAGAGAGTTATATTACTGGTGTTAAAATTACATAAGCATAAATGTTGCATTATGGATATTCAACAAGTATAGGCTATAGCTGGAACTGAAAAGCATTTTTCTTCCCCCCCATCCACAATAGTCCGTTTGCAGAAATTGATAGTTATTTTCTATTTTATAAAGTAGAATTCAAGGCAGGGTGATTTTCCTTCAGAGGTCCTCCATTGGTGGATGCCTGTGGTTGGACCTCTTGGTCAGCTCTGTTTGTATACAACAGCACGTCACAGCGTGCGTAAATCTAGCCCAGCCTTTGCTCCGCCCCCTTCCATTGCCGGTGATCTGAGCTGATGCAATAAAGGGTGAGTCCCAACCACTCCTCCAGCAGTGCTGGTTCTTCTGTGGGAGAGCATCGCATCACCGGGGACTCTGCTTTCTGTCTCTTTCTTTATAAACCACATTTCTCCTTCTTCTCGTGTCGGTTCTTGGCATTTCACGTATTTTTTACTTTGATTACTTGAATTGCTCTGGTTGTCATTTTAAAGATCAGATCGTCTTTTTGCCTAGATTTTTTTTTCATTCATTTCCTGTTCATTTACAAATAACGTCAGTAATCTTACGGATCGGCTGTTTTTTGTGAAGGAATCGACTGGAGATCTCTTTGTTTTGTCCAAAACAGGAAGGATTTTTCTTCTAGGTTTCTTTCCCCCATACGAAGGTAAGAATGCCGGTGTTGAATGAAGCACTGGAAAATTACCAGACAAGAGGAAGTGCAGCTTTTCAAATTGCAGGAAGCTCAGAAAATCAAACTCCTTTTATTGTGACTTGTTATCCGTAACTTGACTATTTATTCAGTAAACAATATACATATTTATTTTGTGGCAAAGAATTAAACATGTGACACTTTAAATATTTAAATCTTGATTTTTTTTTCTTTAAAAAAAAGCGCCATGTGTCATATGTGGACAAATGAAGCCCTTATGGTCAATCTAATTTAATGATGTCTAAAGGCGTGTCATATTGACGTCTGGATGTTGCATTTGTAGGCAAAAAACAAAACAAAGAAACAAACAAATCTGACATTAAAATGTATAGATCGAGGAATCAATTTATTTTGAAAAATGTAGAAACATAACTCGGGGCGAGTCAGAGCGCGAGCCGCAGCGGGGAAGAAAAAAACTGTTCAGCTTTGCCCATAAAAGGAACACACGTGTCTTTGTTTCTGCTGGAGCCGGCTGTGGAAATAATGTCATTAAATGGATCTGGTTGCTCAGTGTGGGGAGAAATGAATAACAGAAACACATATTAGGGATGATTTTACTAAGTCATGACGACTGGAGCGCATTTAACTCACGATTTGATCCGATTCTCTTGTTTTATGCTCTTAAAAGCTGGTTGTTTTTAAAACTGCTTTAAGACTTTTTTCTTAAGTGATTTAAATAATAGATTTTTTTTGAGGGGCGTTGTAAAGATCAGCCTCTGCGGGTCTTTTTTGTCCTTCAGCATCCCTTCCTCTTCAGTCAGGTCTGGCTGATGCTGTGAAGACTCGCGCTCCGGTATTTTTCCACTCGCTGCGTCATCACTCAGCCCCTCCCGTCGCTGAAAAGATCTCACTCACGCGGTCTGATATTGATGCCGATATCATCGATGCCTTATCTGTCAGTCGGTGCTCCCTAATCGAATACTGTTACCAAAACTGTTATCCCTTGACCCCCCAAAAAAACTGCTTAAAGGAAAGATTGCCATTGATGCCAATCGTTGGATTGTATTGAAACCAGATTTCAAAATGGAATCTGACATGCTTCCTTTGCATACATTAAAAATAGAACCTCTTGGTAGACATGGCATTCAAATAAACATATGCTAAAACACAATAACTAAAAACCTGTTTTGTTCTGCTTTCTATGTTTTCAGCTCTAAAATGCCCAATGAGAAGCAGGCTGGTTGTAGAACTGAGATGAAATGCCTGAACGCTCCTCAAGACGACGACAGCTGCAGCTCCAACAGCAACGACTTTGGATACTCTGACTTTCCCAGGAAGGTTCCTGGGTGAGGCTCGGTTTTAACATGTCTTCACAAACAAACCGAATAAAAAGTTTGATATGTCAGCTCATTGAACACATCTCTTTCTTCGATTTAAGGCAATACCCAGATGAAGATCCAGAGAGTCAAAACTTCCTCTCTGATCATAAACCAAGCAAGAAGAAGTATGAAACTGAATATGTAAGTTCAGGTTTATTTATTCCACAATGTATTTCTTTTCCTGCTGTTTTTTTTTTAACTCAGTTTTCTCCTCTGCAGCACCAGGGCACTGCCTCCTTCGGCATGTCCGTCTTCAACCTGGGTAATGCCATCATGGGCAGCGGCATCCTGGGTCTGTCTTACGCTATGGCCAACACTGGCATCGCCCTGTTTGTGTAAGAACCTTTCTATCAACTAAAACCTGAAACTTCATTTTTAGTTCCAACATTTCTCAACTCCAATTCAGGCAGGTGTCTGTTCAAGGTCTACGTCCTGGTATTCCCAAACTGTGCAAGATAGGGTTTCTCCACCCCTTTTTGGATTGTATTGAAACCAACAGGTGTGACCCTAACAGAGAGGCAACATGCCAGGTCAAACATTTGCAGTTGTTCTGATTAGTGCGCGCTTCACCTATGTTTGCTGTTGAAGAGAAAAAGACATCTTGAAGAAAAAGCAAGTGGTTGTAGGGTTTTGATAATGGTGACCCCTTTTGGCTGTTCATGTGAACAATTTCAAGACTTCTTGTGACATTCACGCCCTGGGTTCCATCACTCTTTGTAGTTTTTTTAAACAGAACAAAGAAGAGTATGTTACTGAGGCTTTGTTTACTCTAGTGCATGATGCATGGATGGCATTTGGTTGGAGGAAGAGATCTCTATTAACTTTTCATCTAAGCTATAAAAAAAGTAGGAGTGATTTCCCGAATAAAGCAGAATACAGATGTTTTCTCTCAGTTAGCCTTGTGGTAGTGTGCTTATCATCAGTCGGAAGCTGTAGGCCACTTTCCAGAGAAGCAGCTTACTGGTAATCCTGGTGGCCAGGTGTTACGTAAACCAAATAGATACCATTCACATGCTGGGGATCATGAAATGGTCCACTGAGGATCTCAGTTTGACGGCAATCGACTAATCTAGGTCAGGATTTGTAGGAAGTTGGAGCTAAAAAAAACCCCAAAGTAGCTACTTCTTGTGGTGGAGGCTGAATGTTGGTAGGAAAAAGTGGCTCCCAACCAGACGTCAACAGTGGCATATTTGCTGGGTTGAAGCTAATTTTGTCAAGAGACATACTAAGGACGTCCAATGAGAGCAAGTGGGCAGACGGTGATCTAATTTTTGCATTGCGAGTCTCAAATGGTTGAGAGATTAATTTCTACCTGGTCTATTAATACATTGGGACAAACTGTACTGGGTGGTAATAAGATGATCCTGTGCAGGGAAACCTCTCATCCCACTCTGCTGTTGCAGTCTATCATTTGAAGGGGGTCGTTCCGGATTTCAATCGAAATTTATCGCTTTTACATCTAAGTGATTGTGTGCGGACTCTTAGCTGTCAAAGATAATTCCTTAAAAAGCTGATGGCTCAGGTTGGGAAGCGGTGATGTGTCAAGTCTCCGAAACAAGCAAAAAAAAAAAAAAACAATGCAAGCCTTTCGGAAAGTCAGTGACTGTAACACATGCTCAGCAGTCATGGAATAACACCTGACCTTCACTTTAGCTATATGTGGCTGTGATTGTTTACCATCAGGAAAGAACAGTTGTCTTTCAGATGGCCTTTGAAGTCTCATGTTCAGCATTTTAGCATTGATCAGGGCCTGCTATCCATTGCAGTCACGTTTTTTTTCCTTGTAATTACATCTTAGTCACGAGTCGACAACTGAAGACCTTTTCTTTGTGTTTACAGGATTCTCCTGTTTTCCGTTGCCATTTTCTCCTTGTATTCTGTCCACTTGTTGCTAAAGACAGCCAATGAAGCAGGTGAGCACCAGCTCCAACTTTCCAGCAACTTTTTATGTTTGATCATATTTAAATGTCAAGATTTAAAACTTTTCTATTTCCCCCCCCCCCTCTTTTTCCAGGGGCTCTTGTTTACGAGTCACTGGGTTACAAGGCCTTTGGGATGTCAGGCAAACTGGCTGCTTCCTGCTCTATCACCATGCAGAACATTGGAGGTGAGGGACTGAAACTTTCAGTAGCAAAACGGCTCTTTTTGGGTCATGCAACTTTGGTTGAACTGCTTCCTACACTCACCGTCATCTTGGAAAATAATAAATTGTAGAAATGGGGTGAAGTCACTCCTTTTTCCTTAGGAACATCTTTGTTCCTGGATGCCTTACAGGAGTTTGACTCAGTTTATGTTTGAATAAAATGTATTAACTGCTCTTTTCTTTTTATTTTTTTGCAGCTATGTCGAGTTACCTCTTCATCATCAAATATGAACTCCCGATTGTCATTCAGTCCTTTACCGGAGCAAATAATGGGTGAGTGGTCTGTTTTGAATTATTTTCTTTCTGATTACTGTTTGGACCAACTGACTTATAAAATATGACTACTTGAACCCTTACATGAAAGTAAGGGTGCTTAGAGTTACTTCTTAACAAAATTTAAAAAAAAAACTCTAAGCAAATTCCTGTTGGTAGCTATTCTCTATTAGAGACACATTATTGCTAAATACAGAAAATTGCTTTAAATCATTGGTTGTCAAAGCAATTATGAAAATGTCCCCAAGGTGGGTATTAATTTATGCCTGGTCAGTACAAAATGTCCTGCATCAGATGGCTTCATTTTGTACCCGAAAAAGTAAAAAACTTAAATGAAATGACCTTTATACTGTTTGTCAATTCGTTCATTTTTTCACAAAATGCCAAAAAAACTGCAAAGATACAAAATGATAAAATGCCTCGCATATGTTTCACAGTAAAGGACGATGCTCTGTAGCACCGTCTAGAGGTCAGAAATAAAAACAGTTAACTCACAGTTCTGTAAAAAAACATGACGGATAATCTTTCCAGGATTATGTGCTTGTTCTTTCCCTACTCTCATCAATATTTTAAATGTTAGAAATTCATTTTGAAAATGTAACTCAATCTGTTTAGGTGAGGCTAACTTAAAAAAAAAAACATCTGTCAAAACAATAATCAGCAAAAGATTAGGTCACATATTTGCAAATGAGCAGCAGGGTTATGTCAGCAAGCACTCAAAGTAAAGTGGAACACCACCCAAAATGGCTGCCTGTTGTTTATCCAGAGCCAACTCTCAGAGTAGGTGAAGCAGAGTCTTTGTCTGTCCGTGTGAGCAGCTGTGTCCATTGTAGGCGGGACGTCTGGACATCTTGAAGGGATGCCAACGCCCTGTTACTCAGAGCGAACCCTTCAAAGAACCCCTTTTAGGAGGCAGGGCTAGTACCGCATCGAGATGGTGCGCAGTATGAGCTCACTGCGACCTCGCTCCAACTTTTAAAAATTGATGTGGCTTCAGCTCCTCTGTGCTGCTTTGTTGTGCCTATTTCTGGGAGCGACGCTGTTATCCAGTTCTTGTCAGCTTTTTCTGATGCTGACATGTTGTCAATGCAACAGTGAAGTTGTAAGCTGAAGATGTTTTTTATGTGTGTTTCAGTGAATGGTACATCAATGGAGATTACCTTGTGATTCTGGTCTCAATTATTGTGATCCTGCCTCTCTCACTGCTCAAGAACTTGGGTAAGGAGTGTGTGTGTGTCATAAAATATCATTCCTAGGCAATGATGAAAGTAGAATTGGCAGCTTTAAAACAGAAATGAAATTTTTTCTGTCTCCCTTAGGTTACCTTGGTTACACCAGTGGCCTGTCTCTACTCTGCATGGTGTTTTTTCTGATTGTGGTGAGTACAATCCCACTTTGTTTCCTTACTCCTCCTTTGATAGCAAGATACAACCCATTGTAATGTTTATTTTATTGAGGCACTGTAATAATATAGCACCATTCAAAAATATATTTTTTCTATATATTCCTGCAGGTGATCATAAAGAAGTTCCAGATATCTTGTCCTCTGCCTATTCCTGACGATGGAAATGAAACCATGCATTTGTTGAACAGCAGCCACCACAGTGACAACACCACTACAGATGATGACACTTGCAAGCCTAAATACTTTGTCTACAACTCACAGGTAAATAAATCTCTCACAGATTAAACAGATTTGAATATTTTAATAATACTCAAAGATTAACATCTAATCTTTGTATTTTTCCATCTCTCCAGACTGTCTATGCTATACCCATCCTCACTTTTGCCTTCGTGTGCCACCCTACTATCCTCCCCATGTATGAAGAGCTCAAAGAGTAAGTCCTGCTGCATGGATTTAACTCAAAGTGAAACTACACCAATGCTATATTTCTTTAAAGTTTGGTCTGGTGTCTAAATAAAACTCTCCATCCCTGAACAGCCGATCACGCCGAAAGATGCAGAACGTGGCCAACGTGTCCTTCCTGGCCATGTTCATCATGTACCTGCTGGCCGCCCTCTTCGGATACCTCACCTTCAACAGTGAGTTGGGCAAGATTTAAAAACTACAGTGTGGTAGATTTAGATATATATATTTTTTAAGAATCAATTTCATAAGTAAGCTACATAATAGATTTTTAGGCAAGCTTTGACAACTACCAAACGAACAACTGAAAATTAGCTTACTTGAGCTGTGAATTAATGTTTGTTAATATACACTGCCCATTGAGAAATACATAAAACAATATGTTTTCTTTAAAACATTCTGGTCTTGAGTAAAACTCTCACTTTATGGGTTCACAGGTCATTTACCTTGAATTTGACATTTTTTTCGTAATTGTGGTTTGTAGTGTGAAGAGGACTTCAATTAAAAATCCTAATACGTTGATTCAAGGCTGGTTACACAACAGTGTGAAAACACCACCTGATGCAGCTGGTGCCAGCATGTTCCTGTTTGACTTCAAATATACCAAAAAAAAATGTTCCTGGAACATTGCAGCAGTTACATAAGGACTTGAAAATCGCTCTTTGACATTATACACAGCGGTCAAAGCAGGCAACGGTGATAAAAGGAGACATTTTGATGTATTTATTAAGAAAAACACAAATCACATTGATAATATATCACCACATTGGATGTAATTCAAATTCAGCATATTTTTTGCAGTTTGTAGTATAGCTTTGCGGTAGCTAACTTAATCTGTGATCTCCCAAAGCCTCTTAACAATTAGCAGTTATGTTTGACATAAGTTGTAACTTTGTCTTCATCTTTCAAACCTACTAACTTTCCACGTTTGATCTTGAGGATTAAGGTATGGGTGTTGTGACAAAAAACAAGCATTCATGTTTTATTAGCTGGCTAGCAAAACAACAAATGGTTTAAGTTTTAGAATTTTAGAAATATCAAAATAACATTCAATCTTATTTTTTGAAAACTTTGTTGGTACTATCTAGAAAGTTGGGGGGGAAGGGAACATATTTTTGATCCTGTGCCTAAATGTTAGCTTCCACATGCTAACGAGCACAGCGACTTGGCTGAAAAGATTCTCGACCAATTTTGCCTTCATTTTATTAACCTGTAAATATTTTTAACAAATTGTACACAAAAGCCCTAAAAGACTAGCATAGATAATGTAATCTCAATAATAATTATAGTAGGGTACTAGCTCAGCTCCGGAACATAATATACACTGGTCATGACTCAGGTTTATCATAGCGCACGTCTCTCATGGACTGTTTTTAATAGATTTGTATCAGAAATACAAAGAAATAAAACAATATCTACCTGTACTGGTCAGGACTCTGGTTCACCACAGCAGCCGCAGCACCTTATGAAGAATAGCATTTCGTGTTAACATCAAACTGACGGAACATTTTACCAAAAGTGTCAAACTGAATCTACCTCGCGCACGAGTCTGATGAACTGGCGTTGCGTTCACTAGTGATTACTGCCAACTACCAGGAGGGGGTGCTGTTTCGACCATAACTCTTGAACCCAAACTAGAATTGGAATAATATACAATATTAACTCTGTTACACTAGAAACACTGGCTACAAAAGACAAAGTCATAAGTGTTAGCGTGCTATTGTTTGATAATTAGATATGATTGGTGTTGAAACTGAATTTAACTGAAGTGATCTGTCATATTTCTATTCAGTCCACGTGGAACCTGAGCTGCTCCACACCTACTCAAAGTTCTACAAGTACGATATTCTCCTGCTGGTTGTTCGTCTGGCTGTGCTGGCCGCTGTCACACTCACAGTTCCTGTGGTGCTCTTCCCTGTAAGTATTGAAGGTCTACTGTTAATTAACCAGTCAGTCACAGAGACTATGAAGTTTATTGAGCTAATCTTTGTCTGATCTGAACAGATTCGTACCTCAGTCGGCCACCTGCTGTTCCCAGGAAAGGACTTCAGCTGGATCCGTCACATTATCATCACCCTGAGCCTGCTAGCAGGAACCAACATCCTGGTCATCTTTGTCCCCAGCATCAGAGATATTTTTGGCTTCATTGGTAAGTAATTGCACATGTTAATACATATCATCAACTTTTTAACCATGTTATTGACCTTTATGATTGACGGCTCATTTTTCCTCATTCCAGGTGCCTCTGCTGCTGCAATGCTGATCTTTATCCTGCCCTCAGCTTTCTCTCAGACTGGTTAAGAAGGAATCAATGAAATCCATGCAGAAAATTGGGGTAAGACATTATTAAACATTTTACAATTTCAACCACATTAATTTTTTTTTTGTAAATTCAATGTAAAATATTGTGTAATTAGCAACTTCAAATTAACTGTGAAATGATTTCTTCCACCAGGCTGCGATGTTCCTGACATTAGGAATTGTTGTCATGTTTGGCTGCATGACTCTTATCATCTACGACTGGATCATGAACTCTGTGAAAGACCAAGGTCACTGAAGCTCCAGCTCTTCTGCTGGCGCAGGGGGAAGCTTTCAGAGTCAGACTGCACAAAACAGACAGCCAACAAAAACAGTGTGACGAACAAAGCAAACCACAAAGACTCACTTTTCTCGGTTGGCTTTCTGAGCAAATGGACCGTACCATTCCAAGAGAACGTATCTGAACTCTGTACATTTTGCTGCTCTCGACCACAGAGATGGCGTTTCCCTCTTTTTATCGTAACTTTTTAAATAGTTTTTTGCTTTTTACTTTCTTTCTGTTTCATTATTGTGGTACAGCTGTAAACAAAAAGGCCTCACAACACAGACTGAAAATTTGCAGTTTCAAACACAGCTTCCTCTCAGGTACATTGTTATTCGTGGGAGAGTGTAGCTGTGAACTCTGACCTCAGCGAGAACATCCTGCTTAACAAAATACATGAATCTCCCAAAGACTCGAACGAGGCCACTGGACTTGAAACTTCACGGACAATTTAGTTTCCTTCGACATTTGCTTTCAGTTTTTGTTCAACTTTACCAAAAACGTGTCTGTGAAGCAACTTTGTATATTGAAAAGCACTTATAGCTGAGGCCATTTGTCAGTTTTCACCTAAAACGACACCTTGGTCAGTATTTCTAAGGTCCCTTGATTTCGCTCAAAGTGTCACTGGCGAATCTGTGAACAGAACCACACTGGGAGGTCTGTCTTAGATCTTGTTTGATGGGCGTGTGCAGCAGCGACACTACTGCTTCGTGAAGGCCGCCAAGCCTTCCGTTTCCATCCACCGACCCCCGACTCCTGAGCGGGGGCCACGGAGGGAAACCTGGAATGTTTTTTCTTTATGGGAGAATACTTTGAATTTGACCACATACAGTGGTGTAATATACTTGTTACACTTGTTAAACCGCAACAGCTTTAGCCGTACGAAGTCAGGTGCTCCTAAACACCAAGAAAATACCCTGAATTCTTCAGTGTTCAGTGTCATAGCACAATACAGTGTTTTACAATGAAGACCCAGCATGGATCCAATTCCCATCCGAGTCAAGAACCGTTCATCAGAGAGTGCACTGTGCTTCCAACACTAACACATCGAAAAGAACCGTCATCTATTTATGGAAGGCCGTTAAAGAAATGTAATTTAAACTATTTTAATATATTTATACAATGTTATATGTACATATGTATGTGAATGTATATAGATAAATATATGTTTTTGTTTTTAAAGATTTGTTTGAACAATTTCATGGAGCTCAAAAACCAAAATGAGGTCATATTGTGAAGCGTTTTCAGAACACCAGAGCGCTATCCGTTCATTTCTTTAGAAACACTGAATATTCATCCTGGGTGGATTCAGTGGTGAAGGTCACAACTGGAGCCACTTTGAAATTATTTTAAGCCACTGAAGACAGACACAAATCAGCAAACCGTTCTCCTTGGTCAAACACAGAAAGGATGCTGCCTGTCAGTGCTACACTCTTGTTTCAATGAAACACTTTGTACATGGTGTAAATAATGTCCCAATAAAATGGACTATGACCTGAAACCTTCACTCTCTGTCTTTTATGTTGTCATCTTGATAAAGTTGGAGACAAATGCCCTGGTATTGGTCTAGATTTGTAATATTCGGCTTGATTAAAGCGGAACTCACAAAAAAACACAAGGGGGATCTTGTCTCAGGTAAACAGGGTTTAAGTGTTACCAGGTCAATTTGATAAAAACAAATGTTCAACCACTCAATACAAAATTATTAGGTTTTTACCAGAAATTATTTATTCAGAAACCCAAAATTTGAATATTTAATAAATCTAAATCATTACTCCAAAACCCACCAAAATAATCAAGGGTCTGATTCGCCTTGCTCGCGCCGATTCATCGACCACACTTAAAAAATAGAAAGTCCCAATAGTCCTGTTCCTTTTTTACATTTTTGTTCATAAGCGTCGCTCCGTATTAATCCCCGTCTTCAATCCCGAAAGAAAAATCCAAAACGTCAAAAAAAACAAAAAAGATGACAAAAAAGAAGAGTGGTACCACCCAAAATCCCCCAAAAGACAATAAAGTCCAGATCTCACCGGGAGCGTCCCTTTTCCCCCCGGTGGCTTCCTCCATGCACTGGCGTCTTCCTTCTGCACAGGGCGGCGTTTCCTAGGTGCAAACTCCGGTCCAGGCTTTCGGGCGCGATCTGCGGCGGTGGGACGAACCTTAATCGATGTTTTATCTTTTTCGTTACTTTCTTTGGTTTAAACAGACAATAAGGCCAGAACTCCCGCACAGATCGACACATGAGCGTCTTTCTTACTGATTGCGCCGCGTCTTCCGGCGCACACGCCCCCTTTTATCACTAATTCCCACACCTGGCCCCAAAACATGATTTACCCAACATCAGTTTTTTTTAACAGTGAAACTTCAACATTTTTTTTTAATAATGAACTCCCCAACTGTTCCACTAGACAGCTTGGAATTTTTAACATTTATATAGTCACTGAGAAAAACAAACATAGTGGTTATGTTACAAGAGGATGTTCGCACTTTAATGTGACATTTGTTCTATTCTAGTCTTTTATGTCTTAAACAGAACTGAAAACTGTATAAACTGATTGGATTCATCAAGTGTGTATGAATAAATAACTGAGCAATATGAGCACAATAATATATTTGAAGGTAATACGTTACGTGGAGATTAGCTATTGTGATTCTCTGCTAAAGCTCGGTCTCAAAGAAGAAGACGGCCTCTTAATCTGACCCGCTCCTAAATCCTTTGAGAATAAACTTCATAAATCTAACTACTGTTCAGTTGTTCAATAGTAGGTCCAAACAAATTGGTTTCCTACAGTGGAAGTACATTTATCAAATGGGCCCAAGTACCAGACCCATCTATTTATGGTACTTCATAAATAGATGTGGTGTTTGAAGAAGATTTATTATTGCCTTCATTATTAACATCAACAGATTTGTCCATTATCCAGATTGTCTGGGTTAAACGTAGATGGACGACTGTGGAGAGAGTTCTGTCCAGAACTTGTCTTGCAAGCCAAAAGTTGTGGGTTCTGTTCCACTTTCCTCAAGCCATGTGGCAATGTGCCCCTAAATCCCTTAATTTGTGCCTGTTCTCTAAGAATGAATTAATCCTTTCTAAAACTGTGGTGGCACAAAAGTAATTGGCTGTCATGGGGTCTAAGGTTGAAAAAGGTTTAGATAAAGCTAATATTTGTCAGAACTCAGAATCTAAACACAGATCCGGTTAAAAGAGACTTCACTTGGTAAGACCAAGTTACCATGTTCTGACGGATGCAATGAAGATTATTTATACTTACACTTTTACAATAAAGAAACCAATGAAGTAATCACCTAAATTATCTTGATTTTATGTGCACAACTTATGCTTGTTATAATCTGATTTTATTCTCTCTTGTTTCATTTGTTCTTGGTACTTATGATATATTCTTAAATTTCTCACACCATTTTATTTGGCATATAGCTTGGAAAGCTATATACTGGAGGTTAATCAATGGCAAACTTTTCTGTGGCTTTAAAGCAGTGAAGAAAAGAAGAAGAGAAAAAAAGAAGCCAAATATTTTCCACACAAATTATTCTTCTCTCAATAACGACCTCTAGTGGTCAGTGTTGTGTCGTAGTATCCAATTGTGGATACTATGCAATTGGATTTAAAAAAATAGTGTAATATCCACAATTGGATACTACACAATTCTGAATTACATTAATGTCAGAATTACTGTAATTCTCACATTAATCTCAGAATTCTGAGATTAATGTGAGAATATTTTTTTCCGGTGGCCCTAATTCTCTTCCATACAAAAAAATTGAGATAAGAGAGAAAAAGACAACAGTGTGTATTTGTAACCAGTTTTTCTCCAATAGAGATGGGTAGACTGTGTGAGATTATCAACCATATAGCATAGTTAGCTTGGCGACAGATTACTGTTTTCCTCCATTTTACTAGTATTTAATGAATTAAGGAAAGAAATTACTAACATAGGGTTGCACAGTGGTGCAGTTGGTAGCACTGTTGCCTTGCAGTAAGAAGGTCCCAAGTTCTATTTCTGCATGGAATTTGTATGTTCTCTCTGTACATGCTGGGTTCTCTCTGGGAACTCGGCTTCTTCTTCCCACAGTTCAAAAGCATGACTGTCAGGTTAATTGGTCTCTCTAAAGTCTCCCTAGGTGTGAGTGTGTGTGTGCATGGTCGTTTGTCCTGTCTGTCTCTGTGTTGCCCTGTGACATACTGGCGACCTGTCCAGGGTGATCCTGCCTCTAACCCAGAACGTTAGCTGAGATAGACACCAGCACCTCCTGGCCCCACCAGGGACAAGGCTGTTAGATATTTAATTTGAGAGATGAAACTACGGATTTTGAGAAAGAGACTTACTTTTTTGCTGTTTGTACCGAATTGCTTTAAGAAATGTTTAAGAAATTATTGGAAATGTCGAGGATGATTTGAGAAATGCGGCAAAGTGACAGAAAAAAAATTAAATGCAGCATTGAAAAAAAATGTAAGCAAAAGTCTGTTAAGTAAAATGAATTTTAAAAAATGTATGAAAGAAATTCAAAAATTACATACACAAAAGAAAGAGAAAGACAAAGGAAAAGAACAGAGAGAGGCCTCTCCCTCTCTGCTCCGGGTGTCACCGGATGTTTCATATTTTTTCATCCGTTTCCTTGTCGTAACGCCTTTTGCTACCAGAAAAAAATCTTTAACTAGTATCAAAACCAGAGTCATACCGAGAGGTGTGAGTTATGGTCGACAGTTACTTATTGCACAAACGGAGGTGAAATGCTTTAATTAGTTTTTTTTACAGTCGGACTTCAAATCACTTTCATTTTGTCTCTTCACGGCCATCTTTAAAAGGTGAGAAAACTAGCTTGTTTCGACGAGTAGTTTATTAACTCCTCTTGCAAAGAAGTATATATTTATATCTGATTATCCGCAGACTGTGACACCTATTTTAGTTAGGCACGAAGCTGAAGTTGGTTTCCGATTGCTGCTTCTGATTCAGGAAACTTTAAAGGATGTTATGTGTAGCGGTGAAACAATCAAACGAGCTTTTGAGATTGATTCCGCAACATTTTAATTTAATATTTGTTACAAAGTAACTCCGTTAGCGGTATCGCTACACAGCCGTTAGAAAACAAGAGACACAGCACACCACAACCGTTCCGGCCGCCGTCTCCTATCAACGGCGGAAGGATATTAAGCCCCCTCCGCAACCACGTCGAACTGCGACACAACTCGTAAATACCACACACAATAAAACCCAAAATAGTATTAATTTACTACAACTATTCCATGAAAATGGCTTGTGCGCCACACATGCAAACTGATGATCTGAAAGGTACACCAACGCCCGAAATGGTTTGGACCAGACGGGGTATCTCGGAAGAACATGCATATATCTAGTATATGACCCACATTGTCTCTTATTATAAGACAAATTAGAGTGCAATAGTCCTGCCCTAGACCATAGATTAGTCGTGGATGTGAAAGGACACTGTGAAAGGCTTTGTTTTTAGGAAAGAGACAGAGTTTATACATGAGCATTTACCAGAGTGATTTATAACAATTATTTTAATGTCCACCATATCCTTGTTGTCTTTTCAGCTCTAAAATGCCATACACTGCTGAAGATGATGACAGCTGCAGCTCCGGCAGTGATTACTTCTCTTACATTGAGGAAAGTCTTCATGGGTGAGGTTTATTATAACTCCTCCTCACAAACACAACAAAGAAACTTTTTAAATATTGTCAACTCAATTAACACAAAGCTGTCTGTCCCATCAAGCAAGGAGAAGCACAATACCAAATCTGTAAGTTGCAAAATCTTTATGTATATTTCTGCAGTCATTTATTTTCTTGTTCCCTGATGATTTTGTGTTGTTGTTTTTTTTTTGTTGTTTGTTTGTTGTTTGTTTTTTTCCTGACCAACAGGACAGTTCTTCTACTGGTAGGTTTCATTTCAGTTTATGGCAAGCAATGGCATCACCCAATTTGTGTTCGTACACATCTGTCTGAATATAGCCAAAAAAATAAGTGTTTTAGAGTTTCATCAGTTTTAGCCTCACTATCCAGTGATGAACAGTTTGATGCTGAAATTGACATGAAACATTCTCACACTGCTTAAGACGGGATTGAAGGAAGCAGATGCAGCTGCAGAGATGATCGCAGCTTAGACGTCCCTCCTGATTTCAAGATAGAGCCGCCTCTGGATGGGTGAGGCTCATCTTAACCTGTGCTGACAAGAGACAAAACTGAACATCCTGCCAATGCAATTTTACATAAAACTCTCTCTTCTATTAAAGCCGAGGCTATAATTTAGATGCAGAGAGTCAAAATTCCTTCCATAACCAAAACCCAAGAAAAGAGGAAGAACTTGAACAGGTAAGATGTGTGGTTTAGATTTCACCTGTTATCACTTTTCCTCCTGGAATTCCCTGACTATCCCATAGTTTCTCTTCCAGTACCAGGTTGATCCATCTAGTGGGAGGAATCAGATCAACCTGGCCAATGAAAACATGGGCAGTGAAAACCTGGGTTAGTCTTGCCAATGGGACATCAGATTGGGACTGAAACTTACAGATTCTGTTTCAGCATTGAAATCACAAAACAATGATGATAATTTAATCATTAATAATTTATCATTGTCAGAACCACTGATCAGGAACAAGCAGGCTGGTTGTAGAACTGAGATGAAATGCCTGAACGCTCCTCAAGACGACGACAGCTGCAGCTCCAACAGTCATAACTTCCCTTACATTAAGAAACTTCTTCATGGGTGAGGTTTATTATAACTCCTCCTCAAAACACAACAAAGAAACCTTTTAAATATTGTCAACTCAATTAACACAAAGCTCTCTGTCCCATCAAGCAAGGAGAAGTACAATACCGAATCTGTAAGTTGCAAAATCTTTATGTATAATTCTGCAGTCATTTATTTTCTTGTTCCCTGACAATTTTGTGTTTTTTTTTTTTTTTTTTTTTGGTGTTGTTGTTTTTTTTTTTTTTTTCCTGTCCAACAGGACAGTTCTTCTACTGGTAGGTTTCATTTCAGTTTATGGCAAGCAATGGCATCACCCAATTTGTGTTCGTACACATCTGTCTGAATATAGCCAAAAAAATAAGTGATTTAGAGTTTTATCAGTTTTAGACTCACTATCCAGTGATGAACAGTTTGATGCTGAAATTGACATGAAACATTCTCACACTGCTTAAGATGGGATTGAAGGCAGCAACAGCAGTTGCAGCTCTGATGACAGCAAAGACGTCCCTCCTGATTTCAAGATAGAGCCACCTCTGGATGGGTGAGGCTCATCTTAACCTGTGCTGACAAAGAGACAAAACTGAACATCCTGATAATGCAATTTAACATAAAACTCTCTCTTCTATTAAAGCCAAGGCTATAATTTAGATGCAGAGAGTCAAAATTCAATCCATAACCAAAACCCAAGAAAAGAGGAAGAACTTGAACAGGTAAGAGTGTGGTTTAGATTTCACCTGTTATCACTTTTTTCCTGGAATTCCCTGACTATCCCATCTCTTCCAGTACCAGGTTGATCCATCTAGTGGGAGGAATCAGATCAACCTGGGCAGTGAAAACCTGGGTTAGTCTTGCCAATGGGACATCAGATTGGGACTGAAACTTACAGATTCTGTTTCAGCATTGAAATCACAAAACAATGATGATAATTTAATCATTAATAATTTATCATTGTCAGCGCCACTGATCAGGAACAAGCAGGCTGGTTGTAGAACTGAGATTAAATGCCTGAACGCTCCTCAAGACGACGACAGCTGCAGCTCCAACAGCAACGACTTTGGATACTCTGACTTTCCCAGGAAGGTTCCTGGGTGAGGCTCGGTTTTAACATGTCTTCACAAACAAACCGAAAAAAGTTTGATATGTCAGCTCATTGAACACATCTCTTTCTTCGATTTAAGGCAATACCCAGATGAAGATCCAGAGAGTCAAAACTTCCTCTCTGATCATAAACCAAGCAAGAAGAAGTATGAAACTGAATATGTAAGTTCAGGTTTATTTATTCCACAATGTTTTTTTTTTTTCCTGCCGTTTTTTTTTTTTTTTTTAAACTCTGTTTTCTCCTCTGCAGCACCAGGGCACTGCCTCCTTCGGCATGTCCGTCTTCAACCTGGCTAATGCCACCATGGGCAGCGGCATCCTGGGTCTGTCTTACGCTATGGCCAACACCGGCATCGCCCTGTTTGTGTAAGAACTTGTCTTTTCATCTTAATTTGTCTGAGTTGCATTCAGACGAAGGTTTTTCAGGTCTCAAGTCTTGATATTCCTAAGATCAGCAAGAAATTTTTAACTTTTCTGTTCATATTGACTTGAAACAAAGAAAATCCTCACATCTGAAATGATGTGATATTATCAGCAACCTGAACCTGCTTGTCTGAGCTTCTGTAAAAGACCAACTGGGAAAATATCAATAATAAAGTGTGTGCATGTGTGTGTGTGTTCCAAGAATGCATGCAACTCCAGTTTAAATTCATTTTCTGCTAAAAGAAAGATATTGGAGTTTTCCCCCTGGTGGCTCTTCAATGTATCATGTTTTTGGGAAAATGTTTTGTTCGTCCCTAAAAATGTTTCTCTCAGTAGAAGCCTGGATTAGAAAAAAAAATCTGAATTCCTATTCATTATTACTGTGCCTATTGCACAACTTGTATCATTTGGCACCAAAAGACACATCAAGCATAAAGATTCTATTTATTTATTATTGATGAATACAAGTCATCTACAACTGAAGACCTTTTCTTTGTGTTTACAGGATTCTCCTGTTTTCCGTTGCCATTTTCTCCTTGTATTCTGTCCACTTGTTGCTAAAGACAGCCAATGAAGCAGGTGAGCAACAGCTCCAACTTTCCAGCAACTTTTTATGTTTGATCATATTTAAATGTCAAGATTTAAAAACTGCTATTTTCCCCCCTCTTTTCCAGGGGCTCTTGTTTACGAGTCACTGGGTTACAAGGCCTTTGGGATGTCAGGCAAACTGGCTGCTTCCTGCTCTATCACCATGCAGAACATTGGAGGTGAGGGACTGACCTTTAACCTTTACAGCTATGTATTGTAACTATAATGCTTCCATTCATTTACCATCAGTTTTAAACTGAAACATTGCTTGTTTGTGTCCAAATTGCAGAATTAGATAGTTTTTACATTATTAATATTATTATTTCTATGAGTGTCCTATGAGTTTTTTATATCTCTAAAAATATCAGAAATGACTTCTTTTTTTTTCTTTTCTTTTTTAATGAGTAAAAATTTATGCTAGGGATGTTACTAACTTCTGTGTTTCTTTTGTTTTGTTTTTTTCTTCTTTTTTCATATCCATGTCAAGTTCCCTCTACATTATTAAATATGAACTCCCCATTGTTATTCAGTCCTTTACTGGAGCAAATAATGGGTAAGTAGTTAAATATTTGGTTGTTTTAACAACCAAATAGCAGAATTTGTTCTTATTGATTCCATGCTGTTCATTTCACCATTTGACACTTAATACCTTTCAGTTTTTTATTTTAGAGCTGAAACTTCTAGGACAAAATCAATTATGTGACATTCTATAATTGTGCTACTGAACTTGGCAGCATGTTGGAATTACTCTGTTAATTATATTCAGATTTTACCTTCTTAAAAACTTTAATGCCTTTATTTCTTACATGACCAAGCAAATGGTATCTGCTTAAAGTGATTCAGTACAGGACTATGGGGCTATATTAGTTATCTGCTTCAATTATGATATTGGTAAATTCTGCCATAACAGCAATATATTCTATATCAACATCATCTCAAGTTTTCATATTGGTGGATGCAGAATAATTATTCTTCTGTAGCTTAGATATACCTGGACACAAAATACACCAAAATTTGAAATTCTATTGAATGTAATAACAACAAAAAAGCAACAGTCTCATAATAAAATAAAATAAAAGTAAAATAAAAACAGCGTAGCTTGTAGAGAACGTCAAATGACTAATGAATGAGGAAGGCTGTTATTCCATGCATAGCACCAGTCAATTTAGGTAGGGTGTGTCTACTGGTCCCCTAAAAAACTATCAAAATCCAGAAATTTATTTTGTGTCATAGAAAGTTTCCCTGATTCTCCGGTCAGAACGTGAAAAGTGAGAAGTGAACATGTCCAGTGTAACAAGGACATTTGCTCACTGTTGGAATTAATTTTTATTGACAAACTAATCAGGCTCATTTCCTAAGCATTCCTTGTGTTGGAGAAGTCTCTGTCAATCTGGAGAATGACCCGATTTCCTCTGAAGCTGAAACTCAAGACAAGTGAAAAAGTTCCCATTCTGAGTGTTCAAGCTAATTAATTACATTTTCTCAACAGGTTGTGTAACAGATATGATTCTATCAATTTAAAATGTATTTATGTGTTTCAGTGAATGGTACATCAATGGAGATTACCTGGTGATTTTGGTCACAATAATTGTTATCCTGCCTCTCTCACTGCTCAGGAACTTGGGTAAGGATGTATTTCCTACGTAATAATAATAGTTGAAGCACCAACTTTAAGACGGAAAATATTTTTCATCCTACCTCACTAGGTTACCTTGGTTACACCAGTGGTCTCTCTCTGCTCTGCCTCGTGTTCTTTCTGATTGTGGTCAGTATGACGCCTCCCTCTTTTATTTCTCCTGCAAGTTAGATTTTGTAAATTGTTTCATTAAAGTTTTCAAATCACTAGTTATTTAGTTTTTTTAATATTGTAAAAATATACTGTAGTCCTAACATATTTACCTTTATGCAGGTGATCATAAAGAAGTTCCAGATGCCATGTCCTCTGCCTATTCTTGACATGCATTTGTTGAACAGCAGCCACCACAGCGACACCACTACAGATGATGACACTTGCAAGCCTAAATACTTTGTCTACAACTCACAGGTAAATAAATCTCTAACAGATTTAACAGGTTTGAATATTTTAATAATACTCAAAGAATAACATCTAATCTTTGTAATTTTCCATCTCTCCAGACTGTCTATGCTATACCCATCCTCACTTTTGCCTTTGTGTGCCACCCTACTATCCTCCCCATGTATGAAGAGCTCAAAGAGTAAGTCCTGCTGCATGGATTTAACTCAAAGTGAAACTACACCAATGCTTCATTTCTTTAAAGTTTGGTCTGGTGTCTAAATAAAACTCTCCGTCCCTGAACAGCCGATCACGCCGAAAGATGCAGAACGTGGCCAACGTGTCCTTCCTGGCCATGTTCATCATGTACCTGCTGGCCGCCCTCTTCGGATACCTCACCTTCAACAGTGAGTTGGGCAAGATTTAAAAACTACAGTGTTAGCAGTATTGAGATGTTGTCAAGATGGGTTGAACCCAGATGCAGCAGGTTGAGACGTTGATTAGATTTAGAAGTTTTAATGAAAAAAAGCTGAACAAACGAAATTACAAGAACCACAAACAGAAGGAAAATAACAGGATTTAACAAGAGGCTCCTGCAAGGATAGTGACAAGCAGATAGCTTTTGTCTCTGCAGTACAAAACCTGCAGAGAGTTGTGTTCACTATTACTGTTTCCTTTAATCAGAAGTTAAATGTTTTATGTAGAAAACATTGAGCGTATTGTTTAGGTATACAACACACCCTTGTCTTATGTGTTAGAATGTTAATGTTTATTAATTACATATAATTGCAGCTGAGTTGGCATAAAGTCAAACTGTTCTTAGTCATTAGAAGTAAGTAACTGAAGTGATCTGTCATATTTCTATTCAGTCCACGTGGAACCTGAGCTGCTCCACACCTACTCAAAGTTCTACAAGTACGATATTCTCCTGCTGGTTGTTCGTCTGGCTGTGCTGGCCGCTGTCACACTCACAGTTCCTGTGGTGCTCTTCCCTGTGAGTATTGAGGATCTACTGTTAATTAACCAGTCAGTCACGAAGACTATGAAGTCCATTGAGCTAATCTTTGTCTGGTTCTGAACAGATTCGTACCTCAGTCGGCCACCTGCTGTTCCCAGGAAAGGACTTCAGCTGGATCCGTCACATTATCATCACCCTGAGCCTGCTAGCAGGAACCAACATCCTGGTCATCTTTGTCCCCAGCATCAAATATATTTTTGGCTTCTTTGGTAAGTAATTGCACATGTTAATATGTATCATCAACTTTTTAACCATGTATTATTGACCCTTTATGATTAATGGCTCATTTTTTCCTCATTCCAGGTGCCTCTGCTGCTGCAATGCTGATCTTTATCCTGCCCTCAGCTTTCTATCTCAGACTGGTTAAGAAGGAATCAATGAAATCCATGCAGAAAATTGGGGTAAGACATTATTAAACATTTTACAATTTCAACCGCATTAATTTTTTTAGTAAATTCAATGTAAAATATTATGCAACTAGCAACTTCAAATTAACTGTGAAATGATTTCTTCCACCAGGCTGCGATGTTCCTGACATTAGGAATTGTTGTCATGTTTGGCTGCATGACTCTTATCATCTTTGACTGGATAAGGAACTCGTGATAGACCAAGGTCACTGAAGCTCCAGCTCTTCTGCTGGCGCAGGGGAAACTTTCAGAGTCAGACTGCAACAAACAGACAGCCAACAACAACAGTGTGACGAACAATGTTCCCTCTAAGCTGCGCGCCTGCGCAATCGCGCACTGCTCACATATTCTCAGCGCACAAGAAAATCTATGTAGCGCATAAAATAAAGTCCAACGTAAAGTGGACATTGATCTCAGACATCAGTTTTGACTATGGACCAATAAAAAAAATTTCCGTACTACTTTGCGATCGAACTCAGTGAGTGATAGGAATCCAGCCAATGATACGATACGGTTCACTTTCGCTACGCAGCCAATCAGCGCATGATTGGCTGTGTGTACGTGGGTTACGTGCCTTGGCCATATGACCGTGCAGGTGAGAATAGTGCGGTAGAGTTAAGAAACGTTAAAGCCATCGCCTTATCATGTCTACGTGGGTGTAGTGAAACCTGTTTAATTTAATGTCATTCAATGTTAAGTTAATCTACTGAGGCTATCTAGTGGCAAATGTTATAATTTTGTCTATTACTGGCTTACTGACGCCTTCTTGTGGTTACTTTTATTATTACGACTTGTTTACCAGAAAGGAAGAAAGCCGTTGGTCCATGTACTCCGAAAGGGGCCCTCTTGTTGTGTTTTCTTTAATCTAAGTGCAGAAACGGCATCGTCTGTAAGTGCTGTTCTAATTTGATTGTCATATAAATCATAATTGTAACCCGTTGACATGTTTTATGTGACGATAGATATATTTTTTACTCGTGTTAGCCCGACGCGTTAGCCTACTGGCATTCATTTTCTGTACCTTTGTGTGTTACAGTTTTACACGATTCTCATTAAACCCTGCTAAAGAACCAAATGGAGTGCTTCTTGGTGGACGGATGGGAAAGTGTTTAGCTACCTGTATAGCTGAGTTACTGTTAAAAGTCACAGTGCTTAGCGAGGCCAGGACAGTGGGACATCCACTCACCAAGCCAAAGTAAAAAAAAAAAGAAATGCACTTCTTCTAAGACCAAATGGAATCAAATGAAAGGAATGATCTGCATTTGATATTGAAATGTTGAGTTCAGACTTTTTACTATGGATATGCAGACATTTGTACACTGGCAAAGAAGTATGAGGCCATTCTCCTCCACCCACAGATTATTGAGGCCATTAACAGTCAATATGCTGAATTCAAGTACATAAAGCAAGAAGCAGACTGACCATCAACCTGGGCTAAGTGTACAACCTCTGAAGAAGTGAGAAGAAGTGAGAAGCGAGAAGGGCAGACATGAAAAAAACTGTAATTAAATATTTTACAAGAATTTATACTACATCACAAGCTACAGAAAACATTTCATTGTGCAAAATGTGAATGTTTTAATATGAACAAACATTTATGTCTGAAAGGTGTAATGTCTCATTTCTCACCCTGGCTGAAGCAGGACTCTTACTTATAGCATGCATCTCATGAACAGCAATGTTTTCTTTTTGTTTATTTTAATTGAGCAAATCACTTAAATTAAAAGCAAACGAATGAAAATTGCTGATGTAATGTAATTTGATTTTTTTAATAAGCCATGCAAACTTTCTATGATCCCAGATTTATGATACTTGTGCGTGGCCATGCCGTGTACACTGATGATGCTCACAGTGGTCCTCAGTGTGCCCAGGAAGCTTGTGTGTATGCCCAGACACATGATAAATTAGAGGGAACATTGATGACGAACAAAGCAAACCACAAAGACTCACTTTCTCGGCTCTGGCTTTCTGAGCAATGGACCGTACCATTCCAAGAGAACGTATCTGAAACTCTGTACATTTTGCTGCTCTCGACCACAGAGATGGCGTTTCCCTCTTTTTATCGTAACTTTTTAAATAGTTTTTTGCTTTACTTTCTTTCTGTTTCATTATTGTGGTACAGCTGTAAACAAAAAGGCCTCACAACACAGACTGAAAATTTGCAGAGTTTCAAACACAGCTTCCTCAGGTACATTGTTATTCGTGGGAGAGTGTAGCTGTGAACTCTGACCTCAGCGAGTGTAACCGGATCCGATTTGCGTTGTGCTGGTTTTAAATGATCAGGCCGTGGTTCACCTTTAAAAGGGTTTATTCTGACAAGAATAACAAATAGGAAATAGCCGTGTTACAGGCTGCCCGCTCCAAGCCCTACATAAAACAAAAGTACATAACAGAAATTAACTTAATAAATCTATAAATAAACTGGATGTATTTAGATACAAAATAAATAATACACACCTCTCCCACAGGACAACATGACAAAAAGGGAGGGTTTAAGGGACGCAAACATTTTAAAGGCAATACCACAGAGGAAGAAACAAAAGGGGAGGGGCTTCCGTTCTTAAAGTAACACAGTTAAAACAATAACAGAGATTTTCAGTCAGGTAGGAACCCATACAAATAACCAAAGAAAAACATTTTGAGTAATTATAACAACATACAAATTCAACCAGGTTACACTCACCCCCCTAGAATTACACAAAATGATGGAAGCAGTGGAAAAAAAAAAACTCAATACCAGGACAAAATACTTTTTTTCAACAATGTAACACATCAGCAAAACAGCTACCCTACAGTAGGGTCAGGATACTAGAGATCGCTTGACGCCTAGCGAAATCTCACAATATCCTATGGACAACAAGAGGTGCCTTTTACACCCCCCCGAACAGAGTAAACATATAGATGGTACTGAAGCTTATACAACCCAAGAAAAGAACAATCCTAGCCAGGAATCATTCAGCAAAAATTTGGAAATCACACATCAATAACATTTTGAACATTACTCTTATCATAAAGCGCCTCAATAACAGCCAGGACTCTTATCAGTCGACAAACTGGTTTAATAACCCTCCCAAAGCTGAAGTCAGGCGGCGAACAAATCCCCTTCCACACTGTCTGGAGGATGAACAGGACAGCACATCATCAGGATGATGAGGTAAGGAACCAGCGGTTGCCAGTACTCCAGTTTCCATAGAGGAGTTCTCAGGGTCATGAGGCAGGTCACTATTCCCACCTGATGGAGCCAAGTACACATCCTGAACCCAAGAAGCAGTACGGTCATCCGCATCACTGCAGGGTAGAGATTCAGGTAGGGAAGGCTCAGCAGGACCAGCATCAGGCGCCTCACTGGAACATTCTGTTCCGTATAAATCAGGAACTGGAGAGACTCTAACCACACTGTCAGTATGGTGGTTCACATTTCCATCCAATGTCATCCCCACAGGTAAAAAGGTCACATCAAGAAGGAGGTTACGATGCACCACACGCTCATTGCCGTGACGGTCCTAATATGGTAGATATGGAGAGCAGGTTTAGATGCAACCACCGTGTAGATCACAGGCTCCCATTTATCAGAAAGCTTCCGCTTCCCTCTGGCTCCCTTGTTTGCCACCAAGACCTGATCTCCAACTGACAGAGGGTGACCCTTGGCTCTTGTTGTACTGGTCACGTTGATGTCTCTGCTCTTTACTGGTGCTCTTCTCAGCTATTAGCATGGCAGAGCGCAGATCTTCAACCAGTGATTTGACATAAGTGTGGTAGTCACAAATAGTGTCATCATGAAGAACATTTCGAAAAACGAGGTCAACAGGCAGCCTAGGAATCCTCCCAAACATCAGATAGAACGGTGCAAAGCCAGTGGTCTCATGGACTGTGCAGTTGTAAAGAAAAGTCAGAGACTGGATCATCTGAGGCCATTTATGCTTCGAACGTGGAGGAAGAGATCTCAACATGTTGCCCAGGGTGCGATTGAATCTCTCTGCAGTCCCGTTACCCATTGGGTGGTAGGGTGAGGTGTGTGATTTGCTGACACCACTCAACTCCAAAAGCTCAGCAAGCAATTCACTCTCAAAATTTGCGCCTTGGTCCGAGTGAATACGCTGGGGGAAGCCATAAACACAGAAAAACCCATCCCATAACTTCTTTGCAACTCGTTTAGCGGTTTGATCCTGACACGGGAAAGCATGTGCTAACTTTGTGAAGTGATCAGTGATCACCAGAACATCCACAGACTTGTTGTTGCTGTCCTCAGCCGACCAGAAGTCAATACACACAAGCTCCATCGGAGCACTGGTCCTGATGTTCTCCAGAGGGGCTCTCACAGCAGGCTCTGGGGTTTTACTAAGGACACATCTGGGACATTTCCTCACATAATCTCGCACATCTCTCTCCATGTTATGCCAAAAGAAGCGATGACGAGCCAAGGAGAATGTTCGTGGCTGGCCCTGGTGACCTGCACTATCATGGACACCAGTCAAAACTACAGACTTCAAAGCTTCAGGGACCACAAACTGGAAGCGTTTACCTTTTGTCAGAGGGTCTTTTATGACACGGTAAAGAACGCCATTCAGCAATGTTAGTTTATCCCATTGCTTCAGAAGTTTCAAAGCCAGTTGATTTTCACCAAAGCGTTCCCGCCTTGACGGACGGCGTCCCCGTTCAACATACAGAACAACTCTGGAAACAACAGGGTCATTTCTCTGGTGAGAGACAAGGTCAGTTAGATGAAGAGCTTTTGATGGACCTGTGGTGGGTGGGATTATCATGTCCAGATGATCAGCTAACGACGCTGCATGCTGAGCCTGACCAGCATCTCCTTTGCAGACAGATGACAAAAGAGAGGAGACCTCATCACAGGTCATGGATGTGTCAGCTGCAGTGGGGGAAGAGCTGTCCACTGATTGAAGCTGACAGGTCAAACGGAAAACATCCTGCACTGCATGATCAGGAACCTCACAGACATGCTCTAAAAGTTTCTGACAAGGCTCTGACAGAAGGCGATCGGCCAAAGGTTTCACAAAAGGGGCTCTGCTGAGAGCATCTGCCACCACATTCTGTCTCCCTGGAACATACCTGATCTCAAAAGCATATGGAGCAAGCTTAGAGACCCAGCGCTGTTCACAGGCATCCAGTTTGGGCTTGTTCAGGATATATGTGAGGGGATTATTATCCGTCCACACAGTGAACTTGTGACCCTTC